GTATCATTCGTCCAGTCTAATAGCAGAAACTTGATTACAAATCACTATCACAGTGCTGTATTTAAATACATTGTTTCTGCTCTTATAATAACTCGAAGATAGAAATTTAAAAATTCAGTGTTTGCCAATTCCATTTTTTGGTTAGTGGTTCAATGAAGCCTTGAAAAACAGTCTCTTGAAAAGTTGCATTTCTGCCATTTCAATAAACTTCCTTACTTACATTTTTTATTTTTATTGCTTCTCTTGCGGTTTTCCGGTTAAAATGCAGCAAGTGTATCGAAGTTTTACAGCTCATTACTTTGATGAAACTTTCTACTCCTCCACATCTAAACTAACCAACTTTTCATGCCTATTGTAAGCATTTGCCACAAATTTATGATGCACCAACCGTTTGAAGTACATTGCTATGTTTCCATAAAATTCTATCAAGTTTTCAAAACAGTCAATATTTTGACTCAGTGGGAATTAAACTGCAAGCAATGAAAAGTAGTCCTGCGACATGTCTCACTGTGCAATATTGGGTAACGCCAACAGTGAGAAGACCGGTTGATAAAAAGAGTAAGCAATATCCTCTCCTATCAGGCTATAGATTGCTATATATAGCTAAACAAGACATATATCCTTATCTACAGACCTACTCTATGTTAGGACGACAATTGAGGATGCAGAAAGGCAAGGATGGCTGTTCAGAATGTCCCGCGCGAAATAGAGAAAACAACAGCAACTTGACTCCTCTCAATTGAAACTTCTGTTCTCTGACAAGAAGATGACGAGACCGGTTCCAAATGTCTGGCACAATCAACTGAATATAACTGAAATGAGGACTTTGAGACTTTCCAATTGCAAAATTGGAGAAAACAGTCGAAGACCGCAAATGCCACTGACAGTGCATGAAAGAGTTAACGTTCTGTCATTTAAATATCACTACGTTGAAAGATCACGGCGCATTAACTGCTAATGGAATTGAGGTGCATCTATATGTATGAACGTCTATATCTAATTCTTCTCGTCAAAGACACGCGTTCCTCCACCATTATATCAACAGTCAGAACGAAACGCATTCTCAGTCATCATAAACAAAGTTCGGTATGTGGCACGTTGTGGGGAGCTTTGACGAACGGATTCAGTTGCTTTCGGAAAGCAGAAAAGATACACTATAGACATGGTCACATAATCATTTTTGTTCAATAAGTGCGAGTAGGAAAATCCGAAGAACTATCGCTCAGTCTGCTTAAAAATCTGCAAGCTGTTCACTAAAGTCATCATCTGCAGACTGTCAGCAAGTCGCGATGAATAGCTTCGAAGGGAACAGTTAGGATTCCGAAGGAACCACAGCACAGCAAATCGCATCTTTTCTTTAAATCAACATTGCTGTTGAAAGCAGAGTAAAGAGGGGACAGTGAGCATGGTACGTAGTTCGACTCACTGGCGGGAGACAGTGAGCTATAACCGTCAACTGGTACTCTCGTGGGCCGGTTTTTCCGCTTCGTCGCCACAGCGGCAATGGAAAGATTATATCAGGACCTGGGAAGGCCGCGCTTTGAGGTGGATGACTCGAAACCGCGTAGAATGGCTGCTGTGCTGCATCCAGCGCGATTCGACTCCGTTTACCAGGAAGGTGATACCAGGCATCCATGCCTGAGGGTATGTATACATGTATGTATCGAGGGGTCCTCTATGACCACAGGGCACTATTCCAAGTAGTATCTGGAATCTCTTCTACCTAACTTCGCTATTCCATTGTCTTCGATTTTGAAAATCAGTGGAAATATTTCCGTTCAAGAGTTATCTTGGTTCTACTGACGCACTCAGAAGTAAGGATACAAATAAATTTTTGATTCACTGACGACTTTGTTGGTTACCTTCTCCTAAGAAATGGATTGGCATGTTGAGGCTTCGATTCATACAATGAACGTTGGCTCTGTTGCTAGTATATCCGCACTGCTCAATGTGGCAGCGAATCTTTAGCGAAGACTACGCAGTTTTGATGAAAGCACTGATAAAGTATTCAGCCTTGGTACGTAAAACTTGAACCCTGATATGGGAATCGAGAGCTTGAGACGAAAAAATGTGATCGATATGACCGCAATCCACGTATGAACTCGAATAGCGCCAATTCTCTTGATTTCGACTTCACGAACAGGTTGTCCATAATGAATACTTTGTTTCAGCGCAGTTATACGCAAAAGTGCACGTGATGTCGTGATAAGTTCAAACATACAGTGATCAATTTGTTCATGATTTCATCGTATCTGTCCTCCATTGAGCTAGAAAAACAATTAGAACGCTTTTCGACTGTGCCTTTCGAGATCTTGACGGTTTATAAAACTTATGAACCAAAGTTTTCCTAAAATACGTGGTGGGAATCCCATTGGAAGATTAAAATTTAAAAAAGCGGTTTGTGCATGATGCGTCAGTGTGGTTTAATGGAGCGCTCGTACAGACAGCAGACGTTGGCGTTGTTTCAAACAGAAAAACTGCATGATCTCCTCTGGTTTGGGTTAAAGCGACTTATTGTCCTGAATGGCTTCAAGAAAGACACTTTATGAGAGACAGCGAAAACTCAGTACGCCGTCGCAGAGAAGAAGAAGAGTTATTTTACAAGGCTGATGGTTCATTGCATATCTGGTACTCCAAGGCCGCAAAACCTAGTGATCTATCCACTCAAAGAATATTATCAACATGAAAAGGTCGTTAGAGAGGAAATAGACTCAATTGTGCGTGCAGTGAGTTGGCAAGTGGAATGTCAGGAGACTTTACCTGATGAAAAGTGCTCGATGAAGGTGCTAACAATCGCTGGCAATAGGAGGGTGCGGGTTCTGTTTCGCGCGCTACCGTAGGTAGCGTCTGATGGGCGTACCGGGATGTGTCATTTATAGTAGCCTATAACACAGAACCCACTTTGCGCGGCCTCCAGTTCAGAGGTTAGTCATGCGAAATTCTGAGAAATGTCACATGCAGCACATTTTCTATCGCGAAGTTGTGCTGTATTCTTCCCATGGTGTCCTACTGCATTATTGGATATGATCAGCATTAAAATCTCTGCCGCCACAGGCTGCTACCCTTGCGACACTGTGCTGAATTTTTTCATGACTGATAGATCGGCTCGAACAAGTGCTGTCGTTCATGCTTCCTATGTTTCGCTTCTGGATCGTGGCCAGGAAAGGGGCTCCAGGTTCCACAACGAACGCTTACAGCTGCTGCGAGAATGCCGTGGACAGGAACCTCGGCTGCTAGCACTGTCACACGGCCAAACTTGTCGCATGCCCAGCCACTGCTGATTATGTCAATGATTGGGCTGGGAAGGGAGGGAGAGTAGT